CACTTTCACTCTATGTACTTCCTTTTAGATGAATTGTCTCCTGTAGGTAATTTTTTATTGTAGTTTTACATCTTCCAGCTCTGTCTTTTGATTGGGGAGTTGAGACCATTGACACTGCAAGTTATTTTTGTGTGATGTTTGCTGAATCCTTGCTCTTGCATTATTTTCCCAGGATTGATTCTTGTACTTTTTCCTTTTGTTCAATTACTCTTGGATATATACAGTTGGATATATACTTCCCTTTGGACTTTTTGGTCCTGGTGGCTTCCCTGTCTCAGGATTCCATTAAATATTTCTGCAATACTAGTTTAGCAGTCATATATTTCTTTAGGATTTTTTTGTCATAGAAAATCTTTACTTCTCTGTCAATCTTAATATATGTGCTGCTGAAGTGAGCACACATCTCTGTCAATTTTGAAGGCTAATTTTACGGGATATAAAAGTCTGAGTTGACAGTTGTTTTCTTTTAGAGCTTGAGAAACTTTGCTTCAGGCTTTCCTGGCTTTAAGGCTTGTACTGAGAAATCTGTGGTTATTCTGATGGGCTTGCCTTTGTAAGTTATTTGCTATTTTTCTCTAACAAGTCTTACTATTCTTTCCTTTTGTTGAATTTCTGGAATTTTGGTTATTTTTTTATTTTTTTATTTTTTATTTTTGTCTTTCTGAGACGGGGTCTTCCTATGCAGTTCAGGCTGGCCTTGAGTTCACTTTGTAGCTCAGGCTGGCCTCAAACTCACAACAATCCTCCTGCCTCAGCCTCCTGAGTGCTGGGATTACAGGCATGCACCACCACATCTGGCTAGGAATTTTGGTTATGATATATTGTAGAGAGGTTTTTTTCTGGTCCTGGCTATCTGGGGTTCTATATGCCTCTTATACTTGAATAGTGAATTCTTTTACTAGATTTGGAAAAATCTCTGCTATTATTTCAGTGAACAAGTTTTTTAGACTTTTGAGTCATCTTCTAATTTTTCCCTTATTCCTATAATTATAAGGGATTTTAAAAATTTTTTACTTGAGTCATTTTTTTATTTTTCTTGAGTTATTTTTGTTGGATCGAGCTTGCATAGTGCCTTGTCATTTTTAGGGCATTCTTGAGTTTAGAAACCACTACAGGTACCGTGTCTTCTATTTCTGACACTCTGTCCTCATATTTGTCACATCTGCTACCATGCTTTGCATTGATCATTTTCATATCACTGATTTCTGCTTGCTTTCTTTTCACACTAATTCTTTTTCAAATTGGTAATTCATGTTTTGTTTTATCTTCTTTAACTCAGTTAGTTGATTGTTTATTTGTTCTTTTTTTTTTTTGGTTTTTTTTTCCGGTACCGGGAACCGAACTCATGACCTTGCGCTTGCCAGGCAGGCGTTGTGCTGCTGAGCTAAATCCCCAGCCCCTGTTTATTTCTTCTTTAAGCCCACAGAATATTTATTGGTAAAATTCTTTTATCTATTTAGTTAAATCCTCCTTGAGTTCATTAAACATCTTATGCACTTGCTTAAATGTTTCTTTTTCTGTATCTTCAAACATTTTGACAACTTGGACTTTGAGTCCTTTACCTGGGGCTTTCTCTACCTCAGTGTCCATGAGATCAGCTTTTTGACTGCTTTTTCTCTTTGTTACATTGTTGCTTTCAGGATGTCTTGATTCCAGGTTTGGGAGAGACAATATTTTACTGTTAGCTTTTGCTTCATCCTTTTTAGTCTCCTCTACATGAGATACTCTCATACCTGCCTGCTATTCATAAGAATCACAGCCCTTCAACATAGACTCCTGGATCCCACTCTGACCTTCCAAGTCAGAACTGCCAGCGTGGGGTCTGGGAAGGTGTTTGTTGCTTGTTCTCTGGCTCTCAGCCCCGAACCCATGAGGCACACATTTCTGGCACAGGACAACACTTGTGTCCAGTGAGTCCAAATAATCTCCAGTTGAATTAAGAAGTGTGTTCTCTACTGAATTGAATACTGTCCCTTGCCCCTGCAATTTTTCTATCCTTTCAAAATGTTACCTTATTTAGAAATAGGGTCTTTGCAGGTGTGATGAAGTTAAGATGAGGTCATACCTAATTAGGGTAGGTCCCAAATCCAATATAACTGGTATTTTGATAAAAGGAGGATAACTGAATACAGAGACAGTCATAAGTGGAAGTTGGCCATGTGAAGGTGGTCACAGGTTAGAGCAGTGCTGCTGCAACCAAAGAACATCTGGTGCTGGGAGAAACTGAAGCAGGCAGAGATGGATGGATGACTCTCCTGAGGCTTGCAGGGACTATGGTCTTGTTGACACCTTGATTTTGTTCATGGCTCCCAGAGCTATGAGAGAATAAACTCTTATTGTTAGAAGCCTCCCCACCCCAGTTTATGGTAATTTGTTACAGCAGCTGTAGGACTCTAATACAGGCTCTAAGTTACCATCTGACAATTGCATTGAGGCAGAAACTCTGCTGGTGATGTCTATTTTATGAGTAGTTTGACATGCAGTGGGCATTTATAAACACCTGTATAAACTTTAGGAAATAATCTCACCCTCTGGGCAAAATGGGAATTGAAACATTTTTTAAAAAGTTAGACTTAAGTATTGACAGTAGGAGACACTTCTGAGTCTCAGGTTTGTGCCTGTCCTGTTAGGTCTGAGCATCCACAAGGAAGAAGCCAAACACTTGGCAGGGCAGATAAGCCAGCAGTCATTTGTCACTACCTTGAGCATCGTTGGATGTTTCATGGACACTTTAGGGGAGCTGAGGTCAGTAGAGCAGGTTCTAGTCTTGGCTCCTTTTCTTTGCAAGGCCTGAATGCTCCTGGGTGAGTCATGAGCTTGTGCACCCCTGGTTTCTCCACCTGTAATATGGAACTACTAACACACTAACCTGTTGTAAGTGAGCAGCAGATGAAATCAAGCACACGTGATTTAATTCTGTGCATAATTTTTGTTGTCATTATTTTGATTCCAGTGTGATAAGTGGGTTACTCCTGGCTTTGCAGTGGACATAGACGGACAGAATTTGTGTTGCAATCCCAGGTTATGACTCTGGTGCTTTAACTGAAGAAGCAGGAATTTTTTATTTGTGAGAATGAAAAATAGGAATGGGAACTGACATGACACAGAATTCAGGAAATGGGGCCACTAAAGCTAGTGGCCAGGACACTGCTGTCAGTTCTGCAGAACTTGCTTGGCTCCTGCTGGAGTTAGTTCCTGTTTACTGCAGTGAGCCCTTGACGGTGTCCTTTTTGGACGTAATCAAGTTCCAGAGTATAGACTGAGGGAGTATGTAAAAAGGCAAGGGCTGGAAAATTCCTCTTAGCATAGTAATAAACACCAATTTGAATATTTAGTCCTCAGGGTTATAAATAACTGTGAGTTTTCATTGACGTATAAGCAGTGATACATTTCATACAATAATTAGTTATTTGATTACTTTTGTTTTAGCCTGAAGTAGAGGACAATTGACAAATGTGAATACCTCTGAGACTGATGGGGCGTAGTAAACTAAGTTTATTTATTACAAAATGCAATTTTATTAATATGAATTGACAGTAATTAATTTGCTAGTGTTGATGTTGTTAATAATTGCCTGTAATTTATGAAATATTCATGCTAGAGTGGAATAAAGTAATGCATAGGTCCTCTGGTTTATTTGTTAAAAAGTCTGAATATTTCAACAAAGCCTCTCTAATTCAGTATATTCACACTGCAATAATTTGAAATCCCCTCAAAAACCCAAAAATATCTTCACATTTCTTAACTAACTTCTAGGCACCTCCAGGAATTTTATATTTTAGAGGATCATAAAACTCTCTGAAATTATATCAGAGAGTATAGTTTGTTAGAGCTTCCCTCAAAAGATTAAGTAGCACTGCATTGTTAAAATTCATCTTCATAAAAGTTTTGAAAATGGTTAAATTCCCATTTCACAGATAAGGCTAAGGGAAGTCTTTTGTCAGAGGTGAGACTCAGCTCCAGGCACTCTGCCTCCTAAATCCTGGGCTCACAGGGTAATTTTAATTTTACTTTTCTTTCTTTTTTTTTTTCCTCTCTGAATGAAAGTGTAGACTGTTTCCCCCTTCTAATTCAGTTTGGCCCTCTTATTCCTAGAAAAGGATTATAATTAGAGGGAATCACAATTGAATTCAGCTAATGCGATCAGCGACGTGGGGGCCCCTGCTGGAGCCTGTGGTCCGTCTGTGTCAAGGCGCCTCAGTCTGCAGTGTTGCCGCTGAGGACGTTTTTTGGGGGCTGCAGGCCGGGAGCCAGAGGTTCAGCAGAGGCAGCTGTAGGGTGCTGGAACATGTGGTAGCCCTCTGAGAGTTCCAGCTATCTTCCAAACTCTCAGGGCTGACTTCTGGGGAGAGTGATCCCTTCTGTGCCAAGAAGGACCTTCATCGGATTTAGTGCTCCACTGCCGCCATCTTGAAATACTAAAACATTTTTGAACAAGGAACCTGACTTTTTCATTTTGTACTGACCCTGCGAATTGTGTAGCCAGTTTTGTATTCCTTCTGGAACTCTGAAGAACTAGATACCTTCTAGTTATCTTGAGCTTCACTTCTTCACCTGTGAAATGGAGATAAGATGTTTTATTCTGCCAGTCTCTGGAGCAGTTAAATGAGAGCTTGTCTATATGCCTTGTCAATTCTGAAGCCTAGGGCCAAGACCAAGGATTTGTATTAGGTTATTTTTTAGCCTCTGCCTCTTCTAGTGCTCATGGGAGTGATCAGGAGCTGGAGCTTCTAGAAGGAGGACAGAGAGATGGAGTTCAGGCTAGGGCTCTTTCTTAACTCCCTACTGGGCCTATGTCCCAGATCAGAAGGATCAAATGGAGCCTTAAACATAGATAATCGAGGATGATAAGTGTGCCTCACATTCTTGGCCAGGGAGCTTGGAGATCAGCTCTAGAGTCACAATTATGTAGACAGGTTCAAAGTTTAAGACACCATCATCATTATCTCCATTGTTTTACCCCTTGTGCATGCGCCTTGTTGGTTTTGAGAAGAAAGTAAAAGAAAAATTGTTTCTAACTCATAAGCATTTTTCCAGCTGCAAGACCTTGGCCATGTTTTCTTTTCATGCTCAGTTTTCTCTTGTGTAAAATGATGTAATCATTGCAGTTATCTATGGGGCTACAGTGGGTCTTAGAGAAGAGAATGTGAGTCAAACTGATGCCACAGTGCCCAGCCCGTAAGCAGCACACGGTAAGTGTTTAAATAAAGCTTTTCTTTATTTTCTTCTTATTACTATGAGTAAATCAAGTTTGTGCTGCTCAAAATCTGTTATCTTTGACAGGGTAGCTGAAGGGTTACGGAGGGGGTGATTGCTACTCTAGGCTTGCCCAACCCCTCTTGTCACCCAAACCCCATTTTCTTACTCTGTTAATTTTTAGTAGGCCAAGAGCGACTTCCACCCTCTACTCCTCTGCCTCCATCACCTGGGGCGAGATCTCAGGGGACTGGGCTACCACCTGCCTTCTTGCCTGACCCCAGAATCTCCCTTCTTGGCCCTCACAGCAATGATCTGCCTGCTCTGGACCTGTGACATAGGTGAGCTCCTAATCCACACAGGATTTTATTCTGCATCTTATCCAAGCTGCTTAGCAGACACTTCCCCCCGCTAGTTCCCAATGGCTCTCCATTGCACAAACAAGGAAACTGAGGCTTGAATCAAAAGGAACTTCTACCTATGGGTAACACTTAATTTTACTCCTCACTTTCTCCTTTACTGTTTCTCCCTCTGCCTTCTTCTTTATCCCTCCCTCTCTTCCTTCCATTTTAACCATTGTTAAATATACAGCCCGGTGGCATCAAGTACACTCACAGAGCTGTGCAGTCACCAGTCGCCTCTCTAGCAGCGGAAATCTGAGGGTGGGTGGTATGGGCGGAGGAGGCATTGTCTTCTCTGTCTCCCCCTGAGTGTGCACATCCTCTTCATCCTCCTGGCACTTCTGTGGTGCTGTAAGCAGGCCCTTTCGGATACCTGCCACATAAGAATTGAGTGAGGGTGAGGGCCTTGAGAGGCAACAGTCTGGGAGGAGACATGAGCAGGAGAGACTGGCTGACACTGTTCAGAGAGACACCAGGACTTTGCAGCGTACAGAGCCACGCTCATGACTTGGAGGCCTGGCAGCAAGAAGCATCCTTTCCATCCTGTTCAGCTGTAGCCTCTTCCTCCACATTCCCTGACCTGCAATTTGAGATGGACGAAGGCATGACTCCTGGAGGGCCCTGGAGAGAAGGCATAGGCCATGAAGAAAGTAATGCTGAGTGTCTGAGGGAAGAAACATCAGCTAGAGACAGAAGAGTGGGCAGACGCTCATATGGTGTGCTAGTGCCACTTGGCTGGGGTCCTTGGGTCAGGCCCAGGTAAAAGCTTGGACGCTAGCTTTGGGACTCCTGAGGTGAGTCAGCATAGCTCAGTGTCCTTGTCTGCTTGGTGATTAAGAAATCAGCTGCCACTTTTGTAAATAAAGAGGGGAAGAAGGGCTGAAGGGAGGGGAGGGGAGTGGGAGAAAAAGAAAAAGCAAGATATGGAATCTGTACCATGTACAGGTACAAATTCCCTATGATGAATGTTATCACTGTGTATATCTATTTAAAAAAGAATGAGAAAAGAAAATAACAAGGAAAAAAAGAATAAGCCTCCACACAACAAACCATCTCATACTTAGAGGCTTCAGACAAAAACCATTATTTCAACCAGTTTCTGTGAGTCAGGACCCAGGCATGGCTTAGCTGAGTGGCCCTGGCTCAGGCCTCTCACAAGGCTGCAGTGAAGCTCTGGAGAGGCTCCTGTCATCTCCAAACTCACCTGGGGTGGAAGAATCCCCTTCGCATGAGCTTGTTCATGTGCCTGGCAAGTCACTGCCGGATATTGGTAGGAGGCCTTAGTTATGTGGCATCTCCTGAGCTGCTTCAGTGTGCTCTCTACATGGTTGATGGCTTCCCTGAGAGCGGGTGACCCAGGAGAGAGTAAAGTGAAAGCAGTGACTTGTATGACCTAGTCAGAGAGGTCACATCCCATCCTGTCCACAACATTCTCTTGGTGACACAGGACAGCCTTATTTATGGAGGGGACAATACAAGGATGTACACAGAGGGAAGGCAATTGGAGTCATCCTAATGCCTGGCAACCACACCTGGCCTCAGCATCCTCACCTGTAACGAGCAACTGAGCCTGCCCAACACCGTGAGAATAAGGGAGATCCTGTGTGGGGAGGGTAGGACGCACTGTAGTATGTTAGAGCTCAGGACAAGACAGATGTGATGTTGGGTTTATGTGTCAGTTTAACAGGGTCAAGGGAGGCCCATACAGCTGCTTAAACATCATTTCTCAAGGGTTTGGGTGAGGGTGTTTCTGGAAGAGATTAGTATTCAATCAGTAAGAAGATCTACCTTCACCATGGTTGGTGGACACTGTCCAATGCATTGAGAGCCTGAATAGGACAAAAAGGTGCAAGATGAGTGAATTTTCTCTCTCTGTTTGAGCTGGCACATCCATTTTATTTTTAAATCATCGAGATTCCCATGCCCAGGTCTCAGACCTTGGAGTTGTACCAGATTGAGAGTCACACTACTGGCTTCCTGGTTCTCAGGCATTAGATCTCAGATTGGCTTATGTCTCTGGCTTACCTGGTTCTTCGTTTTGCAGATGTCATATCATGGGGGCTTCTCAGTCTCAATAATTACATGAGCCAATTCACACAATGAATCCACTTTTTTTTTTTTTTGAGACAGAGTCTTGCTCTACAGTTCAGGCTGGCTTTGAGCTCACTTTGTAGCCCAGGCTGGTCTTGAATTCTCAACGATCCTCCTACTTCCACCTCCTAGTTGCTGGGATTACAGGTGTGCACCACCATGCTCTGTGGTTATGAATCCTCTTATATGACAGGTCTGGGACATGCATCTGTAGTCCCAGCTACTCAGGAGGCTGAGGCAGGAGAATTGCTTGAGTCCAGGAGTTTGAGGCCAGCCTGAGCAATAGACTCTATCTCTTAAAAACAAAAATGAACAGTCTTTCTTATATTCCTGTACATATCATCTTGGCTTTATTTATCTGAAGAAGCTTAGTACAAAAAGATAAGATTGAATGTCTGAATTGAAATATAATGTAAATGGAAAATGAATCTGGAAAATTACTCCAGATTCTAAGACTTAATATGAAAAAGATAATGAAAATTACCTCATTCACATGTTGAAATGGTATTTTGGGTAGCATGTTAAGGAGATGTTTTAATTAAAATTTTACCTGTTTTTTTTTTGCCTTTGTTGATATGACTAGTAAAATATTTGAAAACCTATGTGGCTGGCATTCTCACAGCCAGTGCTGGCCTTGACTACGAACCTAGGAGGGTAGTATTCTCTTTCTTATCACCCCAGAGCTTCCAGAGAACTCAGTGCATAGGAAGTGCTCAACACATGTACAAGTGAATGCTGGGAATAAAGGAGGTATATATTCCCAGCATTCAGTTGTATACAACCTGGGGCAGAGGGAGCCCCACAGTATTTGGAATCAGACAAACCTAGATTCAAATCCTGGCTTAACTCCTGTAAATGAGTGCTTAACTTTTGTGCCGGGGTTGCACATCTGTAAAACAGGCTTGCTAGTGTCTGCTCAGCTCGGTCCTCTGTTGAGAGATGTACCCATGGGAGGGCTTGTCATGCGGGCTCTTAGAGTTGGTGCATGCTAGCTTCAGGCTGAGAGTAGCTCAGACTGGGTGCTAGGGCAAGGCGAGGTGCAGCAGCTCGCGCAGACATATGTACATCCTGGGCTTGGGCGGTTGCTAGCCACATGCTTGGCTGTTAGCACAAGCCTTCGAGTTTTCTCACCTTCCTGTGCCCTACTGTGGCCTGGACTTGCTCCTTGATGGAAGCAGCAGCTGCCTACTAGAGCGTGAGAGCAGAGTGGCCTGCCCAGCATTGTCCTATCCCCTTAGCCCAGCACGGGTGACAGCTTGGAGGAGACACCTTCTGCGGTGGAGACTGGTCCCAGGGCAGCACACAAGGGCATGCCAGAGGGGCAATCCTCCTCAGCCCTCCTCAGAGTCCTCCCCAGGGGTCTGCCTACCCCATAACCCCCGTTAAGCACTAGTTCTGAACTCCACATCCCATGTCTATTTCTAAAAGGACTGGAGACAGACAAAAGGGAGCTGCATTTTCTGTTATCAAGGCAGAAAATCCCTATACTTAATTAAAATGTGCCATGGCAACCAGCGAGGTATGTGTAGCCGGGTGCACAGAGTGGCGGTTGCCGCTGAGGGCGATGCCCACGTGCCATCCCTTTGTTCCAGGTTCTGGGAGAGGTGATGGCGCAGTGCCTTTTGTGAGTGTGGCCTTTGTCTGCAGTATGGGGTGGAAATGCAGGGCCTCAGTGGGGTAGAGCCTGTAGCCTTTTGGGTCAGTGCCTTGTCAGGCTGGGATACCAGGCAATCCCAGAGCAGGCTTGACCCAGTCTACATCAGCTGAGGGCCATGCTGGGGACACAGGGGTGATTCGACAGTACTGCTTGTGGAGGCAGATGTGCAGGCAGATTGCTATAAGACGGGGGAGAAGGACTTTGGTAGGTAAAGGAGGAGAGGCCCTGTGGACCTGAGGCAGAGGGCTGAGATCAGAGAAGACTTCCTGGAGAAGTCATAAGCTTCACGGAGTAGCTGAGTACAGCAGAAAGGAGAAGAGTGAGCGTAGGGTGGAGATGAGGAGGGAAGGGATGTTTCTGGTGGCAGGAGCAGCACGAGCTAAAGCATGGAAGCGAGAGCTTGATGCAGGGATGTGCACTGCTCCCAGCTCCTGTGCTATAAAGCGTCAGGAGGACCAGGTGGGGACATCTGAGGTTGGGCCAGGATCTTGGAGGACCCTGTGTACCAGGCTGAGAGGCAGGGATATTATGCTGTGAGGGTGATAGGTAGCATAGAAACTTTCATAGAAAGTTTCATAGAAACTATGATCTGACGTGGATCAGTCAGATCAGCGGCTGCTGAGCCTGGTGGCAGCCTCGTTGTGCTAGGAAAGCTCAGATGAATCCTCTGTCTTTCTGTGGGGCTCCAACTCATTCTGCAGGTGACAGTGGGGGGACCTCAGTGTACACTCACACACACACTATGGAAGGGTAGTGCAACGTGCTCTCCCAGTGGATGGCAATTCTGCAGGGACCTAAGAAGGGGGCAGCTGAACATGAAGGGACCGGAGCAAGTCTTGAAGTCAGGTATCATTCTGGCTGTGTGATCTCAAAGAAGTCACTTAACCACCCTGAGCTTGGGTTTTCCATTTTTAACTTGAGAAGGAAATGACATCACTTGCAGGAAGCACATAACAAGGGATTGCTGCACAGCAGTCTTCCATGTATGACACTTGTTACTGGTTTGGAGTAACACACAAGAGAACAAACCCCACCAAAAAACCAAACAAATAAACAAACAGCAACAACAAAAAACAAAAACAAAAACCAGAATGGAACCCAGTGAAGCTCACGTCAATTAGAACCTATCAATTTAGGGTTCCTTCAGATTCTCGGGGCTTCGGGGCTGGCTGCCAAGAAAGAAGGACCACTT